GTTTACTAGTATTAGTTGTCATTATTGTGCGTTTTATTTATTTACTGCGTAAGTTAAGTAAAGAAAACTTGTAGTGAAGCGAATGTAAACAATGCAGTGCCACACAAAAGGGCGTAACTGTGTTTTATAGTCTCGAGACTCGATCTTTCGGTCGTTTTAATGCGTAACATTGACTGATTTGCGACTTGTAAGATTGAGACTAGAGTAATTAATGTACTAAAAATAGACACTCCTTTGAGTCGATCGAAAGAAGCATTGAACGAGACGATTTCAAGTTTAATATTAGCAGATTTACGGTCCCTCGTTCTCAAGTAGCCATTTTAAATTACTTCCACATTGTCGATAATGTCTTAGGAGTGTGCTTGTTAAAACTAAAGTTCTTATTTATTGCAGACTTATCAATTTGTTTGCTAACAATTTTTCTTATCAACACCCGTTTATTTAACAGAACACAGTGTTATAGCCTGTAATAAGCTTGACAGTACCAGATCCATATTTACAATCGTTTACACTATGTTATATCAAAAATATCCACTTCACATAGATATAAATAGAAGTAGCATTGGTGGAATACATGGGTGTTTGTAATTAATCACATAAGACAGCTCTAAACTAATTTTGATATCTAGGAGTTGTCATGGGTCGGCCGCAGGGATTGTATGCCTCCTTTAAGAACAATCTCAGGTGTTGAAATCGCCCAAAACAGAATCACATTCCGAAATCCGTGCCTCGCTCCACAGTAAATCTAATTTACAATTGGAAATCTTTAGGAGCGATTATCCATAATAGAATGAAAATTGATGAAACATTAATATTAGCCAACAAGAGTATCGCATGTCTGTATGACTGTATTTACTTATGTGTACGTGTATGTGTTTTCTATGTTATATGTATTATTAAATGTATACGACTATGTCTAAATATATATTTATAAATGTTGTCCTAAATGGACTTTTTGATGCAATTAACATCTTATCTTATCTTGTAAGTAAACAGTATTATACCGAAAATAACCTTCCTATTTCGGCCCTTTTTTATACGCCCACATTGAAATGTGGTTGTATGTTGTTGTCGGTCCGTCCGGAGGTCTGGCATCCACAATAGCTTGTGGACGCTCTATAGACTAAAGTTAATATCCAATTGACTTTAAATTTATACACAGTGTTAAGGGTTATGAGACGAAGAAGCCTATTGATTTTCAACGATTTTCAATAATTACTGCCAGAGTTATGGCCCTTAATCACTTCATAAAATCTTGTGGACGCTCTAGAGGTCAAAGTTAATATCCGATTGACTTTAAATTTATACGCAGTGTATAAGGTCATGAGACGAAGAATCCTATTGATTTTCAGCGATTTCAGATAATTACTGCCAGAGTTATGGCCCTTGATCACTTTGAAAAATCTTGTGGACGCTCTAGAGGCTAAGGTTAATATCCGATCGACTTTAAATTTATACACAGTCTTAAAGGTCATGAGACGAAGAATCCTATAGATTTTCAGCGATTTCCGATAAGTACTGCCAGAGTTATGGCCCTTGATCACTTTGAAAAATCTTGTGGACGCTCTAGAGGGTAAAGTTAATATCCGTTTGGCTTTAAATTGATACACTTCATATCTGTCTGTCTCATACTCGAATGTGTAGATTGTTTCTGGCTTTTTCTCCTGACAGCAATAGACTGGCTGATCATCAAGGAACTTATTTGGATTGTCTGATGGATGGTAGATTCTTCTTGAGAACCCGTCAGCATTTCCATTCTTGGAACCTGCTCTATGTTGGATGTCAAATTGATATTCTCCTAAAAGCATAGACCATCTTCCAATGCGACTAATTTTATCCTTAATGCTTTTTAACCATTTGAGAGAAATATGATCAGTAAGTACCAGGAATTCTTGGTTAACTATATATGGACGGTATGTCTTTACAGCTTCGACTAACGCTAAGCCATCTTTTTCAGAAATTGACCATTTCTTTTTCGGCACCATGTAATGCTCTACCTTCTTAAGCAACCACATATTCTCTATTTTGATCATTCTTCTGACCTAAAACAAAGCCAATAGAATCATTAGATGCGTCTGTTGAAATAATAAATTGTTTTCTGAAATCTGGAAATTTTAAAATAGCACCTGAAGTTAGATGCTGCTTAAGATCATCTGATGCAAGATCACATTTTTTTGTCCATATAAACGTTTCATCCTTTTGCAGTAAAGCGTTTAAAGGAGAGGCAATCTTTGAATAATTTTTGATAAATTGTCTATAATATTTACAGGTTCCTAAAAAAACTACGTACCTGCTTAACATTCTTTGGTGTAGGAAATTCTGTTATTGCTCGTATTTTGTCTTCATCAACACTAATGCCTTCTACCGTATACTTAAAATATGTCCCAAGTACTTAACTTTCTTCTTAGCAAGTTGACATTTTGATGGTTTTACTGTAAGATTTGCCGTAAATTATTTAAATGTGATTCAAAGTTTTGACTAAAAATGATTAAATCCTCCACGTAGACTAACATGATTTTCCAATTTAGCCCTCGCAACATGGAGTTCATCATCATCTGGAAAGCATCCGGTGAATTTCGTAAGCCAAAAGGAAGCCGATTAAATTCAAATGATCCTTGATGCGTGACAAAAACAGTTTTATGCTTTGTTTTTGGATCAATTCCTGTTGCCAAAATCCTGATTGTAAGTCTATTACCGAATAAATAGTAGTGTTTGCAGCAGCAATGAGATCTATGGTGTCTGATAAGAGTTGTAATGGATGTGTCATAGGTTCTGTGACTTGGTTTAATTTTCTTTCGTCTACTGCACACCTATGACTACCATCTGGTTTCTTAACTAGCACAATTGGAGATGCCCAACTGCTAGAAGATGGTTCTATTACACCGTTGTCTAACATTTTCTTGGTTCATTTTTCAGTAATTCCCTTTGCATCAGTACTTTATCTTTATGGGCGTGATCTAATTGGTGGTGCATTATTTGTATTAATTTTGTGCATATACCCTTTTGCTTTGCCTCATTCTGCTAGATTTGTTGCAAATATATCTCTGTATTGACCTAAGAAGCCTAGTAATTTTGTCTTCTGTTTTTGTGATAAATCGGAATTTTCTAAATTGAATCCCAAAGACTTAGCTAATTCTACCGATTCATGTTCTGGACACTGGATATTTGAGATTGTAAAATTATCATGATTTTGTTTCAATTGCTCTATGTCTAAAATATGATCTTTATATATGATATGGGTCTTCGCTATTATAGTATGAGCTTTAATTTTAATTTGTTCTTCTGAAGAATTTAAAATCCTAACATAACCTCTATTAACATTTGTTTTTATGATACTTTTACCACCTAATAATTTTTTTTTTTTTTTTAGAATTATCGATTTAAAGGTATTTTGGATATTTTAGTTGAGTTAGGATCAATGGATATGTCTTTGGGGGTCCTAACAAATTCAACTTGATATTTTCTATGTCCATGGCCCTTGCATATTTTATCTGATAAATCTTCATTTAAGCTACTTTGTACTTTTACTTTAGTATTATTTTGTTCATTATCTACTGTGTTATCTGGGAGTGCATATGCCGCATGAATTAATCCCCCGTTTAAAGTCAAAGTTTTGTTTTTATGACTAATTTCAGCATTTGTATCAATAAGTAAATCATTACCTATTATAAAATCATGTTGGATATAATTAAAGATGTAAAATTTATGAATAATACATGTGTTGGGAATTTGAAATTCGAGTAGAGTACCCCCTACGACTTTAACAGTTTGACCCCCCCGACACCAGAAATGTAAGTTATATCTGAAGATGATATTTCTGCATCTGGTAAAACCTTATCTAACAGTGATTTGGAAATACAAGATATGCTCACCCCTGTATCAATGAGACTTTATGACAGTATTGCCTAAAGTCACATTTACAAAATTTTTATTTAGATGGGTAGTCAAAGATTTGGCATTGCAATCTAGTTCCTTTGAGTGAGAATGACCCATCTCAATGATTCTGACTTAGGTTGAAATCAACTAGTAAATAAGTCTATCAAATAATGAATTACAGTTATTGTAATACACTAAATGTACATTTTCGAGAATGGTGCAAGAAATAGTTGATTTAACTTACCAAACTAATTCTCTGATCTCATATGAACCAAATCTAGGAATCCACTTGTATCTCCAATCTGTTCTTGAATGTTCTTGTGCAAACCATTAAATCTTCAGTTGTTCTCGCTTGGCAGTGTAGGGGTACATACAGACAAAAGGACAATCATTTCAACATATCAAATTAAAGATAAAATTAGTGATAAAGTACATTGTAACGAATCAAATGAAAGAAGTTAAATTAATATATAAATTTCATTATAGTTAATAGAATCAGTAATATGTTTTAAGCCATAAATAAAGTAAAAGCGTTGACACTTGATTGACACTGGTCTGACTGTATTGTTAATTCTATAACTCTTTGCTCAAGGCATCCGAAGATTATAACACAGTCAAGACCATTTTTGTCAATAGGCAATTACTTTTTAAGAGCTTTAAATCAAAATATTAAAATCTAAATCAATGACAGGCTGATAATAGTAAAGTCAGTCACATTGTATATAGGAATATAGAAGTAAGAAATAAATTATGCATTGTTCAAATAAAATTTGAAAAAGAAGTTAAAATTAATATCACTATTCGGTGATATGTAGATGTTTATTAAGGGGGACTTAACTTTGTCCTCTGAAGGCAAGATAAACCAGTGTGCTACCCATCTTCGAGAAGCCTTTTTCTAAGCTGGTTTATCTTAGGGCATGCACATTTAATTACCTTATGTGAAAACTAAAGTGGTTTATAATAATCTTATACTATCATTATTTAGTGTAACTTGCACTTGATTCTCATGCAGACAGACCAGGTAAATTGCTGTGATACTGAATTTTGAATTCAGATCTTTTAAATGATGTATGTTACTATTATTACAGAATGAATAATGTTTGTATTTATCTTGTATATTCAAGGAACTTCTGACCAGGTCCTCCCTGGAAACACATAAACTAGACCTAATGGCGGAAATATCCAGTCTGAAGAACAAACTAGCATTGACTGAGAAAGAAAGACGGGAATTAGATGAGAGATTACAAATATCTCAGGTAACATTTATTTTTCAAAGAGGAAATTTTTAAAATAATATACAGTAGTAGAAAATAGAGCATGGGTAACGGTATACTGGTATATCACAGTTAATACATATAGTTGAACTTCGATGGCTTTTGAATTTAAACATTGTTTATTGATCAAATATGAAACATTTAATTTATGTCATAACATGATCACGATACTTGCAATACTTCACTGATATTATTGAGGACTTGATTTAGGCTTTACAAATTAATACGCATACAGTGTTAAAAGATGTAAACTTAATAATGTTCACTAATGTTTTTCAGAGGCATATATCTGAAATGGATGCCAAAATGTCCTTCAAAGATTCAGAAATAAATGAGCTTCGTCAGAGATGTCGTATGAATGGAACTATCCTGAATCCTGATTCAAGTGGTAAGTTAATGATAAATGAAGCAATGATGCGTCATTGTTGTAGGTGATCAGTCTAGTCTGTTCTAACACAAAAACATAGATTTGAAGTCTTTTCAGAATAATCAATTTATAAGTAAAAGTTTTAGTTTTGAGATTCCATCCACTGCAGAATACTCAATATTAGATAATGACTATATATTAACACATCAATATTATTACAGACACATGCCACCGTTTTTCATTGATTATTTTGTATTACCGGTATATATATTATATACTATTCAAAAAAAGTAGGGGATATTTGATTTTGGGGGCATAATACTAAAATATGCAAATGACTACGAAAAAAGTCACTATAGAACCTAACAGAAGAAACATTTCCAGTTACATGTGACGCCCAAACGCACCAATAGCTACCGCATGGAATGCAGGTGATGCTTGGGATCATCATGGGGGTCCAACCCAAGATTTGCACGACTCTGACTTTGAATGTTACAGTCATTGTGGCATTGAATTCCAGGGTGGAAACATCAGTTTAATTGTTTTAGTGACCAAAAAACAAATTTTGATATGCGTCGGCTTACCTAAAATGAAAGGTTACGTGCCCTTGGCATGCTACAGATCGGCACAACACAGGCGGTTGTGGCGCGGACGATGAATGTTTCTCAGTCTGTCATAAGCAGGCTATGGTCCAGATACCGTGATACACAATCTGTACAGGACAGACCACGCTCAGGTCGACCAAGGGCGACAACTCAAGCCCAGGATCGATTTATCCGTACCTTGGCCTTGAGAAATCGTGTCATCACAGCAAATCAGATCAGCGCTCGTCTTCAAACAGACACTGGTGTGAGAGTGAGTGGCCAGACGATTCGGAATCGACTGCATAGGGGTCACCTTCGCGCCCGACGTCCTCGCGTGATCCCTTGTTTGAGAGATCATCACATTCAGGCAAGACGTCGTTGGTGTAGGGATCGTCAACACTGGGATAATCGACGCTGGAGCAATGTGATGTTTTCAGATAAGTCAAGGTTCACTGTTGATTTTTTGGACAGACGTAGGAGGGTGTGGCGTCGTCGAAACGAGCGCTTCCAAGACGTTAACGTCATAAGACATGATCGATTTGGGGGTGGTTCTGTTATGGTGTGGGGAGGCATCACTGTTGCTGGAAGAACGGCTTTACATGTTGTTGCAGGGCGTGTTACAGGCCAGTACTACCGGGACAACATCTTGGCAGTCCATGTTGTGCCGTTCGCACGACGTCATGGCCGCCGTTTCATCTTCCAGGATGACAACGCAAGATGTCACAGGGCCAGGATCGTTACAGGTTACCTCCAACAACAGAACATCACCACATTACCTTGGCCAGCACTGAGTCCCGACCTCTCCCCCATCGAGCATGTCTGGGACATGCTTGGACAGAGGTTACGTCAACGTCAACGTCAACAACGTCCTGCCAATGTCCAAGAACTTGCTGCTGCGTTGCAACAGGAATGGGACAATCTGGACCAAAATGACCTTAGACATCTCATTAGGAGTATGCCACGTCGGATCAATGCTTGTTTGGCAAACGGAGGAGGATTTACCCGTTACTGACTTGGTTGTGATGCTGTGGTAACTTTGCTGTTTGACCCCGGGTATCATTTTACCCTTATAATGGTCAGTCTGTGCCTTACTTAGTCTAACGATCATTTGGAATAAATCGATGAATGTGAACTTCATTTCATTTTGTCATTTGTTTCTTCGTCAGTTTCATTAGGTGACTTTAATAACACTTAAAAATCAAATATCCCCTACTTTTTTTGAATAGTATATATATATATGCCGTTTTTTCCGTCTTGATAATCGCTGCTCAATATCGCCATGACCTTCACAATATGGCGTCAAAGCAGACGAATCTTTCGTCTTTTTTCAACGGAGGCCCTGATAACAAACGCAAAAGAAATATCGGCGACGATGAGTCTGTCGTCGCTGATAATAATGATGCTCTCTGCCCCAGCACATCGAAAGCTTGTAAAACTGCCCCTGTGCAAGCACCTAAAGCAAGGCAGTTCCAACAACAGTGGCTTGAAGAATTCAAATGGCTTCGTTTTGAAGGGGGCGATCGTGGATTGATGTTTTGCGTATACTGTGAGGCAGCTGGAAAACAAAATGGGTTTACTAAGGGTGGATCTAATTTTCAGAAATCGGCATTAAAAGATCATAAAAATAGCGCCGGTCACCGGGAGGCCTTATTCATCCGTTCCCAAAAATCCAACATGCAAACTCACATGGCACAAGCATGAGAAAAAAATGATGACAATTTAACGGCAATGATGAGAACGGTTTTGTTTATGGCCAAAGAGAACATTTCTACTAGTAAATTTAATGGACTTATGCAATTACAGAAACAAAATGGATGCCCTGCGTTAACTGGTGTCATTTACACCCATTCCAATAGTTTGGGAGATATGGAAACGCCCTTGGTTCAAACAAGGGATGACGAATTGAAAGATAAAATAGCTAGCAGCAAATTTGTTGGTCTTATTGTTGATGAAACCGTTAATGTAGTCACAGAGAAAAAACTAATAATATTTTTGCGAATTTTAAATTACACTGCGAAAGCCAAGACAATATTTTTAGGAAATTATTCAGTTAATAGTGGCACGGCCGAATGTATCGTTGACAAAATAAAGGAAGTTTTTTAAGAATGGGGAATTCCTTTAAATAAAGTAATTGGTTTGGGTAGTGACGGAGCTAGTGTGATGACAGGAATTCGGAATGGTGTAGGAGTTAAACTGCTAACTGACACTCCGTTTTTGATACACGTTCACTGCATTGCTCACCGCGTGGCTCTTGCGTCACAGGATGCCGCCAATTTATAAAAAAAGATTGCGGACTACCGGAAAAAACTAAATGAGGTGTATAAACTTTATGAATATTCTATCGGTTACGCGATTTGTCAAAGGAATTGTCAAATACTGAATTTTCGACTGTAAAACAACCATCGACAGTGAGATGGCTGTCCCTTGGTCGAGCTGTTAAATCGACAAAATTAAATTGGCCCGCTCTGGTTATGGAGATCGAAGAAGAAGCCGCTGACCGCAAAATGCTGTGGCTGTTGGATTACAGAAAATCTTAAAAACTTATTCTTTTATAGCCATGACATACATGCTTCAGGGCACAAGCGAAGGGGCGATACGGGCAAATTCAAGCAAAAACTTGCGCCCGGAACGCCTAGTAGCTTGACCACGGCGACTTCTCGATCGCCTTGTGTCGCCATCTCATGTCTTGGTGGCGACTTCATATTTTTTTAAGTTACGTGAATTGTAAGCTCAAGCCTCCGGTCGACTTGAGTTGCTAGCGTCATACCAAATGTGATGTAATAGTTGCGGAAATTTTATGATAAATTAATTATTCCCTTCTTTGCTTTTATATAAATGTTTGTATGAACTATCGATATAGTGTACGAAATCATTAATTACGTGACCGTCCAAGCGTATTGTCTATTTTTATCACAGTATAGAGTCAGTGTGTATCCGGCCAATCGTAGCCTTTGTTTCAAAAATAATCTATTTTTAGTAACAAACGGTCTCTCGATATAAGAATATGCAGACATTATTTAATAACTCAATGTGAAATAAAAATCCTGTTTCTACTCCAAGTTCCAAGAAATATGGCGTATTTGTGGCGGACATTGTCATTCTAAATGCTAGAGTATAAAGAATAATGAAATGAGTGGGTCTAACTATATTTCTTTGTTCTGTGTTCGAGTGTCAGATAAAACAATGAAATTGAGTAAAAATCTGACTGCGGTGGTATATAAAATGTGATACTTGATGGAACCGTTATTAAATCATTTTGATATCTAATTCATGTCTGCTACAAAATGGCTAAGTCAAAATTCACCTAAACCGGGTACTAAACGAAAGGATCGCGATGATTCGACCGACATTCCTCCTGCTAAACAAAAGTACGGCAAGGAATATATTCTTTCGATTGGTACACGTATGTGGTCGACGAAAACGGAAAATGGCATTGTAAGATATATAGAGCAGCTAAAGTTGATTATAATTATGCTGTAGACCATGATCGTCCTGCTAAAACAACCAATGATACTCGTTACAAAGTTTGTAAGTGTAGTTTAATTTTTGTATTATCGTAATTTTCTCGACCTATTTTTATGACTAAGTATAGTGGTCTCTGACTATATGAAATGAAATGTACGATCTCATTGGTCAATAATACATTGATGTTAAAAACAGATCAGTTGATTGGCTGAATAACCTATATATTTTAAAGAGGTAACTCTTTTATCAGACCACAATTTTTTTTCTTTTTTACATTTTTCGTTTACATTTTTTAACCCTTTCACTGCGTATACCCGGTAGTACCGGGTATTATAAAATGTCGGTAAAATGCCTGTACCCGGCATTACCGTGTACTCAGTAAAGCCCTCGCTAAAATTAGTACCGTAACTGCAAGTGCCATCTATTGTATTTTCTATACACTAGAACATATTTCCACGTGTTTCAAAGCAGCAAACCGTTAAATGGCGGAGTGCATTGTGACAACGTAGACGATGCACTCTCGACGAAGTCGTGAATGACGTCTTGCTGACCAACATGTGGACAATTTCGAGGCGGGTGATACACATAATTCGTTTCCAGTTACTTGATAATGATAGTAGTCAGGACAGTGATTGGTATTATGAAGTGTGTGATTTGTTGCGCGACGTTCCGCCCATGGCTAGCTATGTCTCCCGTGCATGATGAACAAGCCCAATGTGAACACGATAGCCCTGTGTCTGCAGTAGATTCTGACAATAATTCTGATGTTGATAATAATGCTGGCCTGCTGGATCGTAAAATACGTAGGTAATTCCTGATTCCCGAACGTGTAGATCTATTGACTGACTATATTGATAATGATATGGGACTTGGGGATGAAAGTGAAAGTAAAAACAAGGTATTGCAATCCGCACGTGGTCATGGCAGCGCGAGACGTGATGCGCGTGTTCGCGGCGGCATTGCTCATGGCTG